GGGGGGGGGGTCGTACAGGCTCGACCAAAATCCCCATCGAATGCTGTGCCCTGTTTGCGGAACGACCCTCTGAGCGGAGTTATGGAGGGCTTTATCCCCGCGTGGTTGTTTTACATGCTATCGCGAGCAAACGTGGAAGCGTCTTTACATTTATGTATGGAGTCGTTCTGAAACGTGTAGTAGAGCGCAACGGATAGCGAGTGGGTTTACTAGGCGGGACGTCGTGGGATCAGTTCCCGGCGAGTCTTATTTTTTTTATTTGCCCAAGAACATGGCCGACAGCTTCAGGGTAGTGCAGGCGAGAAGAGCAACAGCTCTTCTCGCCTGCACTACCCTGTCAGTTTTTTTAGTGTAGACCCATTGTGGCCTGGAAGAGTGCTGTGGTTGTACCCCTCGTAACACATGTCACAAGGGTTTTTGCAATGAAATACCATCATATTCATGTTCAGCGGGTCAAATTACCCTGGGGACAAGTTTCTAGCCGAATCTGATATTTCGACCTCACTTGGAAAATGTGGGCTATTCATGGGTAATAGCAGCAGACTGGGGTTCACCCACCATCGATGACTGGCCTCGGGATGGAATTTCCTTCCTGGTAATCAGGAAATTGATGCAGACGGCACGAATAAGTGAGTCAGCTAGAGTTCTTGGCGAAAAGCCCGCCATGTAGCCTAACCCCAAATTTTTTCGAAGCTGGATGTCAGGAGAACTTTCACGATTGCACTAATGGTGACCGGGGTATAGAGGTTATTTGGCCCCCTAAACACGAATATGATACCTATTTTGTGCGAAAAGCGCTTGAGGTCCGCTACAGGCGCCAACGCTTCGGCGCCAGCGCGCCCGTAAGAAGAAAAACAGTAAAGAAAAACCTCCATAACTCCGCTCAGAGAATCGTTCCGCAAATTTTGAAGATAGTTTTGAGTTCACCGTCTCAAGATGAGTACAATGATGTGCACCCCATTGCAAATGGCCGGGCTGACCTGTTGACCTTTCCTGAAAAGCTATTCAAAGTCTTCTATTTCGACCTCATAGACCAGCAGCGAACCTGTTACCCTACTGAGTCCAAATGAGAGCTTACTGTTCTATTCATGGAGATCCATATCGAGGAGGGGAATTGTTGGAGGTCATAGAATACTTCCTCATTATAATCAAGCATCACCCTCAGCTGATATTAGACGTTCGAAAATTAGTGGGTAGGTTCTGCAGGCAGTCGCTCCCCAAGAGGGCCCCCGTGCGATGCACATTTACAAGGTCCGAAATCCCAGCTCTTGATCGCTGAAACCAATTTCAAGCTGCCATAAGAAGCACCTTCCATTGGACATACATATCATGTTTTAGGCTTCCTCTGTGATTTGAGGGCCAAGATAAATGCAAGAGTTGTTGTCAAAAATCACTTTTGCGCCGGCTCGACACTCCAATGCAGTAAAAAATAACAGAAATCACGAAATAGTGAGAAAGCAATCACTATAATCACTCTTATAGAGCGGAAAATTATCTATCAAATGGTAAGGAACACACATTGGAAACGATTCTCACTTTTAGTAAAAAACGTTCAGTAAAAAACTTGTATAAGAAAAAAGACGCCATTTTCTTCCTCATTTCTGCGAAATCTCCTAGGCTTTTTATATTTTCTATGCCTTTAAAGGCACGGTCCGCGATCAGGTATCGAAGTTGAAAATATGGCGTCAGGAGATCAGAGTGGTCCGCGACGAACAACCTTGTACCGGTTTCGCGGCAAAATTTCCATGGGAGGGACGCTGTAGCGCAATATAGGTTCAGTGGCTCCTCCTTTTTTCCAGTGACTCCTCCTCCAGACTCCGCCCCAATGACCGACTTCAGTGAAAATGAGATTGCAGGAAGAAAAGCATTTTGATAACCGCCACTTGTACGATCGTTGAGGCGTAGTTTTGGAGATAGAGTTGATTGGGCACGTACAAACTGGGATCGAAATGGGGTTCTATCTAGGGCAGGTGGCATGTTTTTTGTGCTTTTTTTTGTTCACAGTCGAGTTACTCAACCCCTTGTCGTCTATATGGAACCCCCTAATCCACCATAGAGATGGCGAGTAATCGCGGGTTCTTCCTTTAAGCGGCCCCGACCCAATATGTGGAGTACTGCTGGTATGTTTCCTGTTTCTCCTTCATGCATGCGCTGTTTTCCATTTTAACGAGAGAACCGTTGAGGATTTATTCATAAAATCTTCGAGCATCTATTAGGTTTCCTTTCGAATATCGGGTTTGTAGTAAGGTTGAGCAGCCTTCGTGAAACTATCTGCGTATAGATCCAGCCTGTTCGTCATCTGAAAGACACATTTTTACACGACAACGTAAGTTCGGGGCCTGTATAGAATAGCGCTTTATTCTGTAGCTCTGCTTGAGAGATACATTGTCCTTACTACGTGACATACTTCCTTATATTCACTTACCCTGAAGCCCCAGCTGTCCTTAGTTTGTCGGCAAAGATTGAGGTCAAGCTCTACGACAAGTACTCCATCTCTAGTACGTGATAAACCCTGGAATGTACGCTCTCTTCAGAAATGTCTAAAAACGAAAGCTCAAACTCTGGGAAAACGCACAGGTGTTCGACTTCCATCAGGGGCGGCAATATAACTGCTTCCGTAGAAATGGCCGAAATCGCGATGTGCTGGAAATGAAAGCGTGTAACCGAGCAGAACTACTCGATATGATGTATTCACACCTCACTGTATATATTTTTTGAACGTCATTTTAAGATATTTCAAAGTCGTATCTGCCAATGTAACCTAGGTTGGAGCGCTACTCTGCACGAATGACCAGGTCCCTTTCATGTCAACCTATCTCCAGTAAGAGATGAACCTTTTGAAGAAGGCACTTCCCCTCTGGGGG